CTCACAAATAAGAACTTCTCCAGGTAAGGCGGATTACTAGCCCTTCAGCTAAGAACAGAAACGAAACACAAAATTATTACCTCTATTAGATAAGCTTTAAACAGTACGCTGTAAATAAACTTTCTAACCCATTGTTCGAGACTGAGCTCTCAGCCATTCGAATCAATTCATTGCGAGATACTTGAATGCAAAGAAGGAAGTTTTTTCTTGATAAAGTAATCAGTCAAACCTATATTACTAATGAATAGCTTGAGGCGAGAATCTTAATTTAATTACTTAAAGAGCATAATATTGAGGCAAGTTTGAAATATACCGAATAGTGCTTCGAAGCAACCAACCTCACATTAAGCTTCGCGAAATACGAATATGATTACATGAAATACGACCATTCCTCTTCAATATACGCACACCCTCACGCACGCACACACAGATATCCAACTTAAGAAGACAAATAGAATACGCCATTTGAAGTTTTAGTATGGAAATGTTGTCAATTTCTGTGCTGAATTATTCTGTGTGACTATACACAGCACAATTATACAGTGCTGATTCCGACCATTAAGCAGTAATTCTAAGAGCAAATCTTAAATCTGTGCGATGCGATCACACGTGATTAATGCTCTCTTATCGTGGTGGAGAATTGAGATTGAGAGGGAGGGAACTGAACTTGTCAGTATTCCATTAAACTGTCACTTAAACCACGTGCCAATACATATCTGAGGAAAACTTCCCCGGCATTGCAATATAAATGCAGAGCGTTGGATTTCAACTGACAACAACGCATCAATGCGACGTGCTCATTACCAAGTGATATCGCATTCATGGACTTCTTTGTATTCAGGATAACCAAAATTGGAAATCAGTTTTCGTTATTAGGCGTTGACAAGGTTATTGACATTGTTTGATTACGGGAGCTCGATAAGCTGGAAATGGAAGGTTTCGTCATGTTTTGTTGTCGTTTCCATGGAATACAGCATCTCAAAAAACTATTTCGCAATTAGCAATTGCCCCGAATGAGCTCAAATATTCTCGAATGTTTCTTTCCCTTTTGAAAAGAATAGGGCCCCTGAGCATGAATTAATAATGATTACATGACTTCGATATGAGGTATCCCGTTCCAGTATTCAGATTTTACCGTTCAAACTGATGTCCTTTATATGCTAATACATGGAATGAAACACCGAACGGGCTCATGAAAAGTCTGGTTCCATACTTTACCTGCCAAGTGGCGATTGAAATGTCTAATTTCAGATGACTTCGTTGATAACAGAGAAATCGCATCCATATGGAAATTCCTAAAGAATCTAATATAGGTACTCGAGATACCTTTCTTTGGCAACATAAACCCGAAAAGTACCGAAGATTCATGTGTGTGCGTATCCATTTTTTTCTATTTTTTAGATATCTTCATTATTTTTGTCTTTATCAATATCTTTTTCAACATCCTACCGGAAAGACAGAAAACACCCAAAACATGTCCATACAATCAAAACATGACATTGGAACACTTTTACAGCGATTTAACAAACAATTAAAATCATGATTATAGTCACTTGATAAGAATGGCCTACGTGGATAAAAAAAAAAAAAAAAAAACTGAATGAGCGAGGGCACGGTATGGAATTGCATTCCCCATTTAATAACGTGGTTCACGTGAAAGGTTATCTAAATATTATGTATCAATTAAATGAAAAATATCACTGAAAGCACTAGAATTCACTATTTTGATAGTCCCCTTAGCACCTAAATACATGCTTACATGAATAACAAGTAGGTACAGATTATCAAAATGCCCACTTTAACAACAACAAAAATGATTCATAATGGAAGACTACATGCATTCTGCAGGAATGTAGAAAAGTTAATGTATGCACACACCAAAAGCAATGGTATTTGGCTATGGGGGACAATGATAATGCGATTCGGATACCCTTCAAGTATTAACCAGTAGAGCTAGTTCTCAAATCATTTAAAAGTTTATGATATTTCAAATTTCAAATTTCAAATTTATTCATGTTTTCAACAAAACATTACAAATCAATTATGAGCATTTAAAACAAATTTAAGAAATACATGTTGGAAACAGAGGGGTCCACTAAAAAGCAATGCTTTTACAAGTGTGAACACCTCAAATGAAACTTAGGAATAATGAGTAATTAAATTAACTAACCTGTAACTACAAAAAGGAACTACAAAATAGGGGGAAGAAAAAGGGGGATGCCAACAGAGACGAGAAAGGGACAAGACAATACTTTACACGACAAAGATAGAAGAACGCGGTCATAATACAAAGAGTAGACAATGACAACAAGAAGTGAGAGATCGAGGGTACAGAAAATAATACTAAATGATGATATATAAATGAATGGGGCCTATTTATAAACTATTTTATTATAAGTGGGCAGAAAATATTACCCCTTCAAGAATATAATGTTAAATCTTATGAGCAATATTTGTTCAACAGTACATGGAAAAGGAACATTGATAAAAACACTTACCTGAATTGCGATCTAATACAGGGGTAACCGAAGTGGGTACCTAGAATCATCCCCTACGCCTTACGTGTTATATTCATAAATATTCACTTCGAAATGTTATCCCGAATACCCCAGGATTAGGATAGATATTCCAAGCCAAATCCCTTGAGATGCCAGGTATCAAAATAAATATGAATCGACAATAATATTCTTTCTCTCTCCCTCCATTCGAAATCATTTTTTATTACTCGACTTTGAAGAAAAAAACCATGGCAGCATAATATAAGCAGACGTTACGGTATTTTCAATTATTTGGATATACTAACGGCCATTACCGTTTGTGGAGAATAAACCGATTCTAAGCCAAAGATGGGATGTACACCGACAATGAGAATTACTCTTACCAGCCTGTAATGCATTTCATTATTACTGTCATCCATCTAAAGTGACATATTATACAACTTTGGCTGAATCATAGCATAGGTAAACACATAAACATCAAGTATTCGGTTTATTTAACATTGAAATACTTTACAAAAAAAGAAAAATCATTCGACAGTATTCAAGGGTTACTTGATGTCGGTGGCATTTTGAAATAATTTGAAATATGATCAGGAAAGAAATACCATTTGTAATGTTCCCGTCTCCTTCTATTGCTGAATATTTCTTGCCGAGAATAAATTCACTTTTCTTTCCTTTTTTTCTAACCTTTTTTCCTAACCTAATTTTCTTAATTCAGGTAAGCCAACTGTAAATAAACGCTGATTAACCTCTAGATTTCGTCATTTAATTCAAGTTCATGATTAAAATCGCGGGTGAAAACAATCACCAATCCAGAATGCATAACCTTTGTTTGTCATAATATCGGGCTAGCTATTAATGTTATACATTTAATTCATTCTTATTAATTTTATAGTGCACCCCAGATTCATTACAATATCATTGGATCTAATTTTAAAAACTTAAGAATGAAAGATATGCAACAATATCATTGGATCTAATTTTAAAAACTTAAGAATGAAAGATATGCAATTAGTGTGTTACTTTGAATCCACTTAATATCCACTCATCAATTATTTGTTAGCCTGTATAAATACTTGCCCTTCACAATTTAAGATTTAAATAAAACGTGTACAAGGAAGCTGTATACTGGAGGCTGTTAGGCATCATCATCGTAAAAACAATAATGTTCCGTCGAATGGACCGACGAGGGTTTATAAGAAAAAATATTTTAACTTGATTTAGTGTACCCGTCCAGCGCGCTAATTATTCCAATTAATCTGCCCATACCAGATTGTTTATAAAAGGGAAACCCCCTCGAGGTAAAGATTACTCTTCACCCGTTACCATGGATGTTGAGGATGTACAGAATAAATGTTTCATCGTTAAGCTTTATTCTCAGAAGACAATGTTTCTAGGGCTTCAATAATTTATCTAGTTAATCACATTCTCCTCTTCAATTGATCAATATGCCCCTCGATAAAGAGGGTCGAGGCGCATGAAGCTCCCCGTTCAATCAATCACCTTCTTTTTGGTAGGTCATCCCCTCATTATATCAACGGAAAATAGTCAGTAAGGGTTTATTGCGAAATAAATAATAATTCCCTGAAATGAATTCCTCTGTCATGAAAAATGCACGGATGACCACGCTCGTATGCACAACATTGGCATTGGTAATGAACCGTGAGGTAGGGTTGGAGTATAATAGGGTGGATCTCTGTAGACTTGATAAATGACTTCACAGGTGGTCATTCCTTTATCGGCCACCGAATAAGCGCAGGTCATCCTTACCAATGGATACCAAGGGAGACATCATCCACGACCCCTTTCTCTACACCTTTCCTCGCAGCAAAATGATGGAAGTTACAGATAAGAGCTATCTGTGTTGTATTCAGTACTATAGCAAATGAGTTCGTGCGAGAAAACAAGATGACTTTTTCATTCATGACATCCATTTCTTCCTATTTTCGCGCCCTAGTTTGATTCTACCCAGTCTTGAGCTGAAACATGCTGCTCGATGACCTTTCAGAGACCACGGGTTGGCTTGTTGGCCTACTTGTACGGTCATTGGTGGCACAGTGAATAGGAAAATGGGGGTGAATGAGTCGCAGGAAATTATTTCTGTCAAAGATGTGGCCATTGAAAGGTGTGATGGTAATTTGTCACGACGAACGTGGTTTCACACCTTGTTAGACAGTCTGTGTTTGTGTTTGTTCGTTCACCTAAAAGGAATATCCCCACCTTTGGACTTTCTCCCTGCGATCATGGCTCATTTATAGCAGCACTGTCACTCTTGCCTTTGGCGTTGTGGGAAAAAGGTGCCATATTCTAAATATAGATAGGGCTTCACCAAAGTTATGATAGCTTATCACAGCGTTCTCTCAGTGCTGCAAAATGGTCAAGAAGATTGGGTAATTCATTTATGAATTCATTTATGATTATTAATACAATGTTTTGAGCGAGGTTTGTGGTTACACCAGTCGTATTCTTTCGACAGGGTTATTTGGTCGTAAAAAGTCCCACTCACGCTCTATCTCGACGTTTCGTTGGGTTGTACCTATCATCTTCAGGATGAGGGTGTGCTGTTGGATAGGGGTGAAAGGGGAGCAAAAGTGGGCCCTTTTCAGGGCCACCTAATCCTGTCGTAAGAATACGTTGGGCAACAGCAAACAACAAATCCTCACCATGAAATCCTTCAATGATTAAATAACTCAATGTTAAAGTAGGACAAGGATGAGACAATGGATAGAATCAATTGCGTTTTGTTCTTTGTCTGTCTAATATGCATATATGATATCTGAGATTCTCCGAGGAGCTCGGTCATAAATTTTCAAATGGTAGGATTTCCCACAAACAAGACCTTCGAGATGAGTGTACATGCATTACATGATCAGTAGTGACGGCTTACACGTGGGTGTATGGAGAATGCTATATTAAGATGTATGCATTATGATTTCTTCTTTTTTTCTCTTTTCACCGAGCTTGATCCCTTCTCGTTGTACTAGTTTTCACTTACCAAGCGTTTATGTTAATTTCTATCATCTATCATTGTACGACTGACCCAAATACATGTGAAGCATACTGTAAGTCGCTTTGCATCTGAAGGGGGAATTGTTGTATGATAAAATACTTTGTGGATCGGATAGGGTTGATCCCACCAATAGACCATCTTTGTAATCAAATGTATTACCTAAATCTTTCTCAAGTGCCATTTTAGAAATTATTTCATTCATCTGTTATGAATCATTGTATTACAATAGCCAATGTGCGAATTGCATACATCAATTGTTGATAGGTCGGACAAGCATTATGGCTTGCCCTACCTAAAAACACGTAATGTATACAATTCGCATTCTGACTAATGAAATACAATTATGTCAAAATGAAATAATTTGTATTGAGGCACTTAGCGATGATTTGTGCATAACATTTGATTATATTACATTAATGATATATGAAGAGTCGATTAATTTTCCAGGAAGAGTAACAATACGCCATGTCAATACGATAAAAAGCTGTGTCTTTACGGTAATCCTGTTTTGAGAGGATGTGATGAGAGGAGGAGTATGGCATATAAGTCGGTGATAATCATTAAGCTACTCCAGCATTTCCTGTGATACTCATCATGAATTTATTGGACTACTTCAGATTTTTCTTTTAAATATGAAATGCATGTCTATTGCATCATGTAGACTTGTCATATCGGTGTTTCGCTCCCCCTTCGGCCATTAATATTATGAAGTGGAAGCATCAATTAAGATATTGAATAATATTGTATTTCGCCTAGGGATCACTATGTTGATAAAATATTGGTTTCTTCGAGGCATCAAGAACGTCGAGAAGGGGTTTGGAGGTGGAAAAAAAACGTTTAAGCTTACGGGGTTGAAACAAAAGCAACTTTGCTTTTAACAGCTCGGAATCCTTTACAGTTGGAGATTTCTTTATAATCCAGGGGTTTGAGTTGTGATTTACAACATTTGAGTATCTTGTTAGAGTGACGACGTTTGCTTGTGGGAAATCAGTTTTGGAAGGTAGTGAGTATGGTGCTAGAGATATTAGCCTGGGTGACGGTCACAGGCTCGAAGCAGACACGCAGACAAATGGGTTCAAAGTCGATACAGTGTATAGCTTCGAGGAAATTCATAACTTTTAATTTTTTGAAAATGCGTGTCATTAATTTTGTGAGTACATGCAGTTCAATTAAGTGAATGCGTTTTAGGTGGAACCGCCTGGTGGTCCATTAGTGTACGTCGAGGCCATCTGCAACCCGAGGCACTATCCTTGAATGAATGCATTTTGTAACTCTGTAGTGATGATGAGTATGAGATGTTTTCTTCCTACATCAGGCCACATCATTGTATGGCAACCATTCATATAACCTGTACTCGTTTTATTTTTTATAACCACACGTTTACGAAAATGTTAACGTCCAATAAGATGAATCCAGCTAGGTTTTAACCTATACCTTTATCGTAAAGATAATATCTTAACATTCACAATTTTTTACGGTTGTCCTAATCAATATTGTTGTGCTCATTGTTATACCACACAAAGGAAATGTTTGATACAATACAGTATAAAATCGGGGGGAAGAAGAAATAAATCTTACCTCTAGCTCTTCTGTGCAACTCCAAATCCATAAGGTATTGCGTGAAGTTTGGAGCATTCGGACTCACGAATTCGTTATCAGGTGAAAATAGGTGTTGCTTAAAATACTTCCCAACACCCTGATTGATCCAATAACAATCATTGTTGTCTCTGTGTATCTCCTGGGTTATCATTATGATCCGACTGTAGTCGAACTGAGAAGATATTATATTTCCAAAGACCATGCCCGATTCTTCAAAGTTCAGAAGAACTCTCGTCACAAACAAACTGTTTTTGTCACTAAATCCTGAGGCGCCACATCCTGCGGATATCATACACGTCTGCCACTGTGTGTTATACCGAGCTACTGGACCACCTACAAGGTCACAAGCCGGTCCAAGTAAAAGATCTAGTCGTCGTTGGTGATCAGTCTTCACCATTGCCTCCATAGCACGAAGTGGAGCAATTAGTGCCGAGCATTCAGAATCCATGATTTTGACATGAGAAGTGACATTATGATTAGGCAGGAGCATCTTAAATCTTTCACTTGCAAGAGCATAACGTATGCCAGGAGTTACGCGGGAGAGAGAGTAAGCGAAAGAGTCATCCCCGGGCAACAGAATTCCAATGTTGATATCAAATGCAGGTAAACTTTCTTCTTCATCCTCGAGCTCGTCTGCTAAAGATTCTGATCCAAATCCTGACGCTAGTAACACAACGAAGACAAACAAATAATGAGCCATTTTGACACAAATAGCCGACTTTTTACGCCTCAGCTGACCAAAGTTATCTTGGTAGATGAAGAAGAATAAAATAGATCACTAACGGTGCGAACCCACAAACACAAGTTCGTGGAATCCACTTTTATGACTCCTCAACAAATCTGTACCATCCTCATTCACAAACAGGAATATAAGAGCTTAATTAATATAGTTGAGGAAAAATGTTTGGCGCTTTTAGAAACTCTGCTGTCTACAGACGATGCTTAACCGGCACCAATAGATTGAATACCAGCGTGCGAGATGTTACACGTGAAGTTAATGGACTGATGATGAGGAACACCGTCTAGGCATCTGTACCTTCTCACTGCGACCATATAGACAAGTGATCGAATGAAATGAAAGGCGCGCGGTATGTGCGCAGTGGCCTGCCCAACCAATCAACGACACACTACAACACATTAGTCTGTTATCCAGTCTCACACATTGTACTCGTTGCTGCAAAAATACATACACCTGAAATACGACAGAGCTATTATACAACATAATTATTATATTGTTATGTTATTCATCAACATTTTTATTTTCCTGGATATTTGTTAAATGAAGTATTGTTTATGTCTATATATTACTGTAATAATATTTTCATATTCTGTTTTATTATAGCAGGTTAGAACCTTTCATACAGATATCGACGCATATATCATTAAAACACGATAAGTGAAATATGTTTCTTAAAAAGGGAAGTGAATTGAACATTCGTAAAATAGCGATATACGAAAAAGACACCAGTTAAATAATCGAATTGCTTGTTTATCTACAGCGATTGGCCATCTTCATATTATTCACAAGTTCATAGTTTCCATTATTTGGCCTATATACCACAAACCTTTAAAAAATTACTTATTTTTCATTTTCTATTTTCAATCTAATCAGCTGTCGAGGTTGAATTTGCCTGAATTTAAAATCTTTGCTGTATAAGACTTGCGTGTGACTTTTATTTTCTGTTTCAATGGTCCACATGGTGAAAAATTGAAGTGAATTTCATTACTCAAGCCATCCTATATAGAACCAAACCGAACATACTGGGCGTGTGTCAATTGGATTTAGAAAATTGCATATATTTAATAAATTATTGAACTTTATTGTTTTCTATATATGCTTATGTTTACTCATCTTCCTTTTATGACGTTGTTATATTTTATGTATATATGTGTATATTGTAAAGCGCATTGAAATGTCAACAGACATGAAATGAGTTATAAAAGAACAAAGTATCATTTTTATTATCATTAAATTTATAATGTTTTCTGTCGAAACGCGGCCTTGTTTCATCGTAATGTTAATGAGAGAGATAAAATGTATGTACTTGGTAAATTCAGGTCGAACTGTTTTTATTTTATTGAAAGATTCGAGTACGCTTTTACTTGAATTGCATTTTTTTTCAAGTTTCAAACCAAGTGCACAGCACGCTATTATAAGTTCTCTCAATCATGTTTTTAATGCAATCTCATCCCTGTTTACTTCTATTATCATTAATACTCAAGTGAATTTGTAATGAGTTAGCCATTCACATTGATCATAGCGGTCGTGTCCATTCCTTTTTTTCCCTCAGAGTTTATCATTAACTATCTCAAATTTGTAATGGTTGCTAGAGCATAAAAGGTCCTTGAAAGAAGTTTATAATTAGGCCTATTTCACAGGTAGACAGGAATAATGAAATGAAAATCACCCCGGATAAACAAAAGGAAGCATGATTTTTCATACTAGCAAGGAAAGGCGGTTTGCAAAGGAAAGACACTTTCAGAAAAGATGAGGTAGAGAGGATTTTTGTTTTAAATCCGTCACACAGAGACGCTTCTCTCTCTTCGATTATAACGGTGACAATCATTTCTAATTAATATTGTTTACTTACCCTGTGTAACCATTGATAATGAAATCATATTCATCAACATAGTGTTTGGTGGATTGATATGATAACAATGATTAATTATACCAAGAAATCAATATCACACCCCCGCTGAACCGTTCAACATTGATTTAACAGTGCAAATCTTGACGATGTATGATAAAAATTGATTATTTAATTATTAGAGCGAAACAAATACATATATAATGTTACGATTTAGGGGGAAAATACCATCTTACAAAGTAAACGTGCAGGAAAGGAAGGGAGATGGCGATTAAGGAAACCAGAGAGAGATAGAGCGAGACAAAGAGCAATTTCTGCGAGCCAGAAAGAGAAAGAGATAGAGAGAATGAAAGAAAGAAAGGGCAATTTGTGCTGGGGAGAAAGAATAAGTGAGAGAAAGAGAGAGAGAGAGAGAGAGAGAGAGAGAGAGAGGGGGGGTTAATTTTATTTATGTCTCGGATAAAAAAAAATTCACAAGTTGGAAAACATTTTCAGAAAAGGTATTTTATTTGGTGATAGATCTCCTTTTAACAATTTCCTGTGACCTTTTTTTTTGTCACGCCTGATTCAATATTCCTCGAGTTCTTTTCTAGGTTTCGGTGTAAACTACATTATGCAAATTGGACAAATTAAGAATAATGTACGTCCGTGGGAACCTGTCCGTTATTGTTTGAAAATACCCTTCGTGTACATGTTACCGTCTCTAATATTGTTCATATATTATGTGCTACCCTGATGTGACCTTAGAAGCCCTAGTTCCGGGGTTAACATAATAGCAGAAAACTTGCAATGTGCAGGTGCAGGTTTTCTGTACGTATCCGTATTCATGATAACAGTTTGTGTTCACGCAAGTTAAAAAAAACACTACAGTCTAATTACCTTTTATTTTCGTGTTATTGAATTAAAATTGGTATACAGCATATGATATTACCATCGAAACCTTAGCAGAGATGGGCGACAAAGAAGAGAAAGAAAACGCACGTTCACGCCAGTTTCTAAACTATTTTTTTTTGTTTCTTTATTGAATCAGGAAATACATACATGTATTTGTGGATGAGCTATGAATAGGCTTATTTTCATAAGACAGTGTCAAAAAGATCACAACGACCGTTCAAGGCCAGAAGGGCGTTAACTCTGTGTCAAAGTGTTCGAGCTTAATGCCTTCTGGCTCCGATGATACACGAATCATTGTATGTGATCCACATATTTAACCTTACTGCTCATAAATAACGCAACAGTGGTTTATAAATGTCAGTTGTAAGATAAATAACATGAATTGCAGAAGCTATAATTTACCCAGCGATATAGCGAAGGGACTATCGTGCACCATTACACATAAACCTCTCTTCTCTATTAGTGAACAAAAATATAAGCCAATAAGAACAGGATTTAGGTTTTTGAATAATGGTGCTTTTCTGTTTAATCTGGGTTCAACTCATTTTGTAAGAAGAGTGAATATGCTATTAAAGTTACCATGAAGTTCTTGTTGACGTCACTTAGTCACGGTTTGAGTTTCCATTAATATAACAATTGGTTTATTCATGATTTGAAAGCACATTCCATGTTTATAGATTAGTGATCTATAACATTCAAATAAATCTTACGTCATTACGCATTGATTAACTATCCACAAATGACTATCGAATTGGTTTGTCTTCAAGAAAATAAGCGAGTTTTATTCAAAATAATTACAATTTTGATATTGTTTAATATTATTTTCAGCGAACTGTTCCCTCCAAAGTGGGGATAACTCTCCTGCATGGGGAAAGGAAGACATTATCATTGACGTTCAGCCTCGTGGCATTGATGTCTACACACTGAGGCATACCTGAAGTGTTAAATGACTCAGTCTTCGCGAAGTGCCGAAAGGACAAATATTTTCGCGCGTGGAAAAGAACTTAATACGGGCGAACATGCCGCGCCAAATGTTCTAGATTCTGGAAGAAAATCAATTACAGGCATCCAAACAGATATCTAAGCCCTGGTTTCTGACATCAATTATGCGCTAAAATGGTGTTAGTAGTTCCGTGAAATTGCTTAGACCTTTCAGGGGTCAGGAAGGACTTGATTTTGACTTACGAACAAAAAAAATCTTCGTGGTCTTAGCGTGATGGATATCATTGAGAAAATAAATGGCCCAAGATATTTTGTCGATGACTGCACTATTAGTGGCGTAGCTAATTGAATAGTTTCAACCATTGAGGGGTCTTACTACCGGGCATAGTGGCTCAATGGTTAGAGCATCCGCCTCATGAACGGGAGGTCGTGGGTTCGATCCCCGGCCGAGTCATACCAAAGACTTATAACAATGGGACCTTCTGCCTCCTAGCTAGGCGCTCAGCATATTAGATTGGAGAAGGGTAATAGTAACATGTTATGTTATGCAGGGCCCGCTGGGAGAGCAGTTATATAACTGAAGTGGCTACCCTGGGTAAATAAATAAAACGTTATTACTGATACTTTAGATAGCTCAAACGAAAAACGCAATGACGATATATTTTTACCCAACAAATTTGAGGTCATAGCGTGCAGTTTGGATAATCTTTTACGTTACAACACTTACAACATATTGCCGTGATTGTTTCCGTTCTTGCGAACACTATTGCAGTGTGTTGAATTTAATTTAACATGTAATGATTTCATTAAGAATAAACATTTGGAAAACCATTTGAAAAACATACACACATACAATGTCATTCTACTATAAAGATTACGGAGTAACCTGTAAATGTGGTCCGGTCATATCGTTGGGGAAATGTATCCCATTTGTTATTGAATACACAAAATGCATTATCGATTGAAATATTGAAATAACATCATCGATGGAAATTAAGTTCACGATAGCCTTAACAAAGATACACATACCACAGGACAAAGTAATAGTTTAGGAGGGTCTGTAGCTCCCCTCCCAACAAACACAAAAATGAGAAGGGGACAAAATAATATAAATTAAACAAAGAGGCAGAATTGAGTAACATGAAGAAAAGAGGGAAAGCATGCAGCAAGAAACGTATGTGCAAAAATAAGAAAAGATGTTAAAGTGAAGAAGAAAAAGTGATTTCTAATTTCTTGCAGAAAAATTGTTCTCATATCTTTTTACACAAGAGTGTTT